TAACATATTACTAAGGATGTTTTCAAATTAAATAATTAGTTCTGCTTACATGGTGTTTCATTATCAACAAAAAGATGATTTACTAGTTCTGTATTTTTGTTTCTAATCCAAGAAGATAAGTAGAAATAACCTCATTTTCAAAACCTTGTCAAATTTTTGTGGGCACAATGTTTCTTTAAACATCAACTGTAACAACAGTAGTTTTCGGTCACGATACTGGAGCCACCTCAGTAATATTGGCAGCAAGTCACTCACAAGTGTTTCAGCAGCATGCAGAGTTCTGAGAGGCTACAGAACAAGAACACATGGATCAGAGAAATGTAACAGGCTGGAATACTATTTTCCTTGGATTTTCAAGGAATAGATTTCTGCAGCTTTCATAAAGAAAGGATAACTGCTCCAAAGTGGCACTTTTGCTTGTACTTAGTGTCCAGCAGAACAAACTCATCTAGGTGCTGGTGACTTCACTTCGGACAAAGCAGATAATGTCCCAGGAGTGGTTTATCCAGATGGGGAAATATTGTAGAGATGAGTGAATAGCATGGTAGATGTACTTCTGGTTTTCAAGAACACCTCACCAAGGCCAGCTCTGTTGGAGGCCACGCGCTGGCAGCTGTGTCCACGGTGTTAGGTTTGGTTCTGAAGATTGGCTGAGATTAATTACCAGCACCTTGAGCCTTCGTTAACAAAGTTTTGTTTGTTGTTTATCTTTTTTTCTTCTTTTTCTAAGTGTGATTAATCTCAGAGTCGCTCATATTTAAGAGGAAGAAAAGCTTAAGATTCAGTGAAATTTCAGAGGCGCTTTGTTTGGTAGATCCAAGCTGCTAATTAAACCAGTTAGATAGGATGGTAATGGTTATCACAGAGCTCCTTTGATTATATTTTCCGTCTCCTGTCCATGTTTTCCATCTCTTGGTCTTACAAACATGAGAACCTGCCCTGGTGCAGCACTGGGAGCTCCAACAGACATCAGAAGAGCTCTCTGCCCATAGCCCACCTGTCACTCCTGCCTCAGCTGTGCCCTTCATCCCCTGTAAGTTGCTAGTCCCTCTGAGGCTGGGAAAAGTGAGCACCCACTTTTAGTAACTGTCTGATTTATTTCCATAGGAGGTTCAGGTCTCTCAAGAGGCTAATGTTTTGTTGTAAGGATGACACAGGATCTAGGAATGAGACTGGGCTTGTGGAAATCTGTAGAAGTAATATACTTTCTATAAAATAAAACTGTCCCTCAAGGCAGAAAGACAGCTAGGATTTTGTTGTGTCCTTCTTTAACAGAATAATACAGTCTCCTCCTTTAGCAGGAGCCAGGCTGGGATGCAGAAGGAGAGTTTGTACATGGCTGCTGTTTAGTTTTTTCCTTTCCCATTTTGCATAACTCCTCCATAGATGGCTGGAAACAGACCTCTGCTTGTTATGAAACAGAACAGTCCTGGAAAGAAACTGGAGTCTGAAAACACATCAGGGCAATGGGCAACTCAATAAATACACTGTTGTTACCTGTCATTGTAGCCTTCACAAGCTCACTACTTGAGCTGTTGTATACAAGGCCTTTCCAGTGAGAGCTTTCTGCATTGTGAGATGCTTTTACCTCTTGTATTTTGAGGCTGTTCAGCTAAAGCAGGGAGTGACATCAAGATGGGCTCCTGTATGGGTCTGTGAGGGGCCTGGAAGCAGTTTTTCTCAAGGATTTTCCTCATTTTGTACTGTGTAATGTCCAGAAGAGTCAAGAAAAAACAAAACACCGAAATGATGTGGTTTTAGTTTTTATTTGGCCAAAATGTTATTCTCTCATGGGCTGTAGAGAGGAGATTTAAGCAACTTTCTCAGATAAAAATCACTGGAGCACAACTGAGGATTTCCACCATCTCTAAGGCAGTAAGTGTATACCAACCACAAGCAGCCAGTGGTATTTTGGTTCATTTTAAGCAGGCCTAAGTAAGGACCACAGCAACTGCACAAACACTGAGCCCCATACAGGGTCTTGCCACCTGTTTCTGTGATTTCTTTAGCCTGTTGACTCATATATGTATATTTATTTTTTTTCTGGAATCTAAGGATGCTTGCCATGCTGAAAATGCTCTTGGTTTGGTTTTGAGCTTGGACAAAGTTCTTCCAAAATGCTTCCATGGTAATAAAATTTCTGACTTCTTTATTTTTTACTTCAGTGTGGCACGGAGTGAAATGAGAGCCCCTTGTGTGCTAGGGATATATGTGGATTTGGTAGCTCCTTTCCTTTCTCCATCTGTTTGCTTGTGTCAGGCTGGATGCGGATTGTCCAGGAAATCATAGAATCACAGAACAGTTTGAGTTGGAGGGGATCTCAAAGCCCACCCAGCCCCAGGCCCCAGCTATGGGCAGGGCTGCCCTCTAGCTCAGCTGCCCAGGGCCCCATCCAACCTTGAGCACTCCAGGGATGTGGCATCACAGCTTCTCTGGGCAGCTGTGCCAAGGCCTCACTACCATCTCAGTGAAAAACTTCCTCCTGACATTTTATCTAAATCTCTCATCTTTTAGTTTAAAAAACTGTTCCCTCGTCTCCTATCACTATATTGCTGTTCTCTTGGAGAAAACAACAACAAAACCCTACAAATAAGCACAGCTGGATTTGTAGCAAGGTTGCATCTTCCATGGTAAATCTGGAAAGCACAGCCATGACCTGGGTCATCCAGAGTTGTGAACAAGAGGCCAGTTTGCTTTGTGTGCTTTCAGCTTCTAGTCCTTTTCCCAACATCAACACAAGAGCAGGAAAGAGAACCTGCCTACTCCAGATTTTGAAACTGTCAGTGCAAACACGTCATGAGCCCGTGGTGCTTTCACTGTTTTTATTTTTGTAAGATGCTTTCAGTTTCGGAAATATTTTGTAAAAACTTGCCTCCAAACCACTTTTGGAAAGTTTGTTTCCCGTGTTATCCCTGACATTCCAAATTCAAATTCTTTTGGTGTTTTGAGCAAAACAAAGCATTTTGACCCCAATAGCTTTTGCTGAAGGCTTTCTGAGCTGCAAGCAAGCAAGGAAATATTTCTGGCCCTGCATTCATGAGACACCATCCAGGAATGAGAGAATGAACCCTAACAATGCAGCTCAAGGAGAGAAATGAAATCTTGCAACTAAACTGGAGGATTATGCATATTAGCACACAAATTGCTCTCTAAATGATAAACACTGAACCAAATAAACATCCAAAACTCTGGGGAGGAATTATCAGTAAGGCCAGGCTGGTAAAATGCAATTATTTTTTTCAGTAAAATACAAACAAAACAACATCTTGCTGAAAACACAAGTTGTCCATGGCCACTGACTAGCCAGGCTAAGCAACAGCACTTCTTTTTGAAATAGGGGTGGCGCATTATGCATTCTTTCATTTAAATTAGAAAAATCAAGACCTTGAGGAACGCCTACCAGCTTTCTGAAGGCTGCTGCAGAAAAACACGGAGGTGCTGGCTCCCATCCTTGTCTCCCCTGCATATTCTCACACTCTATCTCCTGGGCTGCACAGCGTCAGCGTGAAGGTTTGCGGCACATCGAATGGCAGCTGATCACTCAAGGGGTATCCATCCCACTATAAAATGCGGTTTTGCCAAATGAAACCACTGCTGCCACATGCACCTGGCAGAAATGCTTGAGTGGCTGCTGCTGGTGGAGAAATCTGTCTTTCAGCAGTCCAACAGGAGGCCATGTGCTTTGCAACAGGGTTCAGGGATGGGAGTTGCTTTCCTCTTGGGAAGCCCTCAGCCAGGAAGGCGCCAGCTCTGAGCACCTGAGGTCTGCCCATAGGGTTTGGGCTTGGGGGCCAAAAATTGTGTCACTTGTGGAAAGGGGATGAGGTGATCAGGAGCTGCTGAAAACCACACACCAATGAATGTGGCCAGGCTGTCAATATCTCTTCTCAACTAATAAATATTCTTGGCTTTTAAACTATGAGGTGCTCTCCAAGAAGCAGCTCCTGGAGGCCACAAAAGTGCTTCATGTCTGGCTGCATCAGGCACCAGCCCTGCCAAAATCTGTGCTGTTGAAAGAAATAGGAGGGGTGCCTTGTTTGTTGCTCTCTGCCACCAGCTCTGTTGCTCCATCCTTCAGTAGGCAGGGCACCAGCCAAAAGCCTTGCTTGGCCTCATGTAGGTGTCCTGGGTGTTGCGGACATGGCAATATGTAAGCTGATGGATGTGGGGTACATCTGACTCTGTGAGAATATCAGAAACACCCCACTCAAAATTATGGAACCAATGGGTGTTTTGTGTTGGAAAGGATCTTTCAAGATACCATCCGGTCTGAGCCCCCAGCCATGAGCAGGGCTGCCCCCCCCGGCTCAGGCTGCTCAGGGCTCCATCCAACCTGGCCTTGAGCACCTCCAGAGATGGAGCACCACAGCTTCTCTGGGCACATGTGCCAGGGTCTCAATGCCCTCTGAGTAAAGAGTTTATTTCTTATATCTAGTATAAAGCTACTCTTAGGGTATAAGTGTGAAATCTCAGGCTGGACCTGATCACCCTGCCTGACACCCATTCCCATGATAAGAAACTTGAAATGCCAGAAGACAGCACACTGCTCGAGGAACAGGTGTTTAGTAAAGATTTTTGGGGGCAGTTTCTTGGTCATGCATCACACCTAGAAGCATGGTTTTAATGGATGGCAACACAGTTCCTAGCAAGAGGCTGAGGGATCCAGCATCCCCATGTTCATCACTGTGAGCCTAGCTCTGCACTGACAGTATCATCCTCAGGTTTTATGTGTCTCTGCCTAATGCCTTTATTTACACTAGTTTTTAGGAGTGTCAGAGTGGTCAAACTTGATGGATTGCCTGTCTGAAATATTGAGATGCAGTCACAGCTGTGTGTCTGGGTGTATTGATCTATACTTCTGCCCTAATTTTTTAATTACCAAGTTCACCTGCAAATTGTCTCTGGGGAACTCTCTTTGGTATTTCCTCTTCCTGAAGTGAAAAATCTTTTGTCTGCCTCTTTCCTGCTTTCAGACTGAAGGTAAAATAGGATTACATGTTTGAATAAGTAGGATGCAGAACACCATTCAGTTTAAATCTGGAATGCTCTCTGTTGGTGGGTGAGAAAACATTACAAGCAGGCAGTGTTCTGCTACTGTGCAAAATGTGCACTGCCAAGCAGAGATGAAGGCACAGATGGAAAGCAGCAAGGCAGTGCAGGAGAGATATTGCCAGGGCAGGGCTGCGCCACAGCTTGTCACTTCCCAAAGGCCTCACCCAGCCTATGCTTGGGCACACATGCATTGGGGTTTCCCAAAAGCTGCCCTGCACCAGGCAGGCGCTGGGTGACTGCTTCTGAATGCTGATAGTGCTGCAGGGCACAATGGAGCCCCAGCCCTATGCTTACCTCTCCCACCCCTGCAGGGCTCCAGGTGCAGCCTGTGATGGAGACAAGGGCATGTGGAAAGCAGTGGCTCCAGATGAGCTGTGAAGGAGTGAGGAGATTGCCTCAGAGGACAAACAGATATAATTATCTGCAGCAGACTCAGAGTCTGTGTTGCAACAATTTCCTCCTTAAGACCTTGGTGCACCCAAAAAAGAAAAACTTCCTGGTTTCTGTGCAAAGATGCATGACAGCATGATTTATCATGAGTGAGCCATGCTGCCCCGAACCTTCGTTATCCTGCTTTCAGTGCACCTGTAGCATCACGTGCCCTAGAAAAACAGGTGGTGAGAGCCCAAATCTGGGCTTGAGGCAGCTTAAAGGTATGACTTAGAGAAAGGCAAAGAGGCTGCAGCCAAAGGCTTACGCTTTCCTTCAAAGTCCAGCTGGTGAGTTTCCTTTAGAAGGTGAAAATGCATGTCATCAGCAGTAATACTAAAATATGCTTTTTAAATTTTTTTAAATTTAATTTGTTGTTATTATTATCTTAAGGAAAGCATAAACTGTTTTTTCTTAAAAGTATTTAGCTGTATTTCCCTCTTGCCTTTCATGCCCATCATTGTTTCTTACCCTGTCCTGCCTTGTGTGCTGTTGCTCTGCATGGATACAGGGAAAGAGGCATCATCCTTTCACTCCCTTGCTTGGGGCAGAGCTCACAATTCAGCTTTCCCTCTGCTCCTGGATGTACATACTGTCAGAAAGCACGCAATGGGGTGAGTACCTATGCTCTAAGAGCAGTAATGCACAGCTCAGTGTGGGACAGTCACAGACTCACCAACTCTGAGTGTTTTCACTAGAAAGTTGAGGATGGAGCAGTGAATACACAACTTGGGGGTGTCTGGGGCCAGGACAAGCCACACTTCTATCTTGCAGGACAGACAAGGATGTACTGAAGTATTTGTACTGGGGAGAGCAGCAGAAGTCATGGCAGGGTGCATCCTACCTCTCCACTTGGAGCTGGCTCTCGGAGGCAGAAAGTGTAACAACTTAATCAGATATCACTACGCACACATCCCTCTACATTGGTGACACATTTCCTGGCATGCCTGCAGCCCACAGCCATCTCCTCCCAGTACTTAGCATCACCCCGTGCCAGCCGCCCATCCTGCCAAACCACCCTTTGGCAGATCTGGGGATTCACCATCAGTGAAGAGCAGCATGCAGGGTGCCAGGACTGGCGGATGGCAGAGGCAGAGCGAGGTGCCAGCCAACGCTGGGAGGACACATGGGGACAACAGCTGTGGCATGGGGATGAAAGGATCAGAGGTGTGAGAGGAAGGGACCGGAGATACCTGTTTTGTGCTGCTTCATCAGTGACTGTTCAGGCAGCCTGTCAAGTATTCCTTTGTGCTTCAGTTTTTAAACAGCCCACACCATCTCCATGTAAACTGGCTTGCACAGGCGAGGTCTCCATGTGCCCTCTGAGATTTGGCACAGCTGTGCAAAACTCCACATTTGTTTGTGCTATGTGTATCAAGAACAAACAGGTGTGTCAGAAGGAAGGGCAAGATGCCCTCATCCTGCAGAATGGAACTGTTGCTCAAGGAGGCCCAGAAAATCTGGTTTGTAGTGTGCTACTTTGGTGTCCTTCATTCTCTTCTGCTTGTTCTCAGAAGGGATGTTCCTGGCTGTGGTAGCGATAGGTCAGGTTTAGCCACACACCTCTGGCCTCATATTTCATAGAATCACAGAATGCCCTGAGGTGGAAGAGACCCATAAGGATTATGGAGCCCAACTCCTGGCTCCACACAGCACCACACAATGTTCAAACGCAACATCTGAGAGCATTGTCCAAGTGCTCCTTGAACTCCAGCAGCTCGGGGCCATGCCCACTGCCCTGGGCAGCCTATGCCATGCCCACTGCCCTCTGGTGCAGACTCTTTCCCTAACTCCCAGCTGCCCCTCCCCTGACACAGCTCTATGCTGTTCTCTTGGATCCTGTTGCTGTCACAGAGAGCAGAGCTCAGCACTGCTCCTCTGCTTCCTGTGAGGAGCTGCAGCCATCAAGAAAGGCACCTGGTGGCAAGGTGGTGACATCCCTCACTGAAATGCATTCGGCCTCAGGAATCACACTGGAGATGACAAGATGGGGCTCCTCAGCCAGCTGCAGCCTGGCTTTCTCCCACAAAGAGCAGGAGTCACTTTTCTCTACCAAATAAGGGCTCATGATGCCCAGGGAGAAGCAGTGTTGACATCCACAGTCTGCCCAGCCACCATGAAAACCTGACACTGCCTGGTCTCTGGTGGGAGCTTGGAGCACAGCTTCAGGACAGATGTTTTTGTCTGCTCTGTCAGCTGTTGGTTTGCAGGACCAGCTCCTGCTGGTGACATCAACCAGCTAGGTGCACCCACATGACTCATGACCACAAGCACAACATGGGGAACCTGGCCAGCAGAGTGCAATTATTTACTATAGTTGTCCAGGCCTGGTGGCTGTTGCTGGAGGCCACCTCCTCTGTAATTACAGCTCAGCAGGAGCAAGGACGCCAGTCTGCATGGTGTAGCCACTGGAGGTAGCTCTGGAGGGTGGGTACGTGCACAGTAGGAGGATGGGAAACATGATCAGGTGGATAAGGAGAAGATAGTCTGTGCTGGCATGGGATTGCATGCCAGAACTTAGTGTTGTCTGAAAGGAGGACAGTGAGATACCATCAGCTACTCCTGTTATTACACTCGGGGACTCATCAAGGGCTGAAGACAAAGAGCCAGTTAATTATTTACAACATATGCATAAAGGGGAAGGCAGGGACATGAAAAGGGCTATTTCATCATTCTTTCAGTCTAGCAAAGCTGCTTAGTTTGTATGAACCAGTACTCCTTTTAAGTCTCATTTTGATGCTTTCCAACAAGTTCTTCCCCTCTGACATTAGTCAGCCCTGTGGCAACCTCAGATTTCTGTTCTCCTTGTTTAGTGGGCACCTCCAAGCCAGGGTTTGTTCTGCCCACCTGCTCGAGCTTGCCTTGTCCCTTGGGAGGACTCAGTATGTGTAACAGGCAAATGTTTTTCATGAGATGCAGTTTTTCCCTTTGGAAGAAGCTGATCCACTAGTGTGGAAACATTTTGAAAGATAGTCTCAACTTCACTTAATTTTCCAGGTAAAGTAATAATCAAAGTGCTGACTTTGCTATGTCCAAGCCTTTTTTTCAGGTCTGATGTTGCAGGGTACTGCACTGGGCCTGCATCTGACCCCATGCAATGTACCTCTGCCTTTGGCAATGGTGAGAGTAGATGGGAGCTGGGTTGAGCTTCTAGCCAATGTCCTACACCTCAGAGGTCTTCAGCCATAGCCTTCTCCTGAGGAGCCATTAGTTGGTCCTCATTGACACTTTCCATCACGTGAGGGTGTCCACAATCCAGTGGAAAGCACACCTGTTCACTTTCCTCTACTCTTGCTTTGCCTTTGAGAGTTTTCCAGCACAACAAAAGCACCTCCTTCCTCTGAGGGAGCAGAGTGTCTGGTTGCAGAGTCCTTTCTCCATCAGCACGTTTTTGTGCCCTTGACTCTACATCAGGAGCACCTTCATTGCAGCACAACAGGAAGTTTGTAATGGGCATATTGTTGTTTGGATTCAGAGAGAGGACTTTGTGCTGTTTTTGAGGGAAGTGTTTTTGGTAGAGATTATTTTCAGGAATCATTAAGGCAGGCACATGGAGAGAAAACTGAATGTGTCCCCTCAAAGCTGCCAGAAGGGCTGGGGCCAAACCCAGCATCTGTGAATGACCTCTGTACCAGGACAGCCCCAGTCTTTGTTCCTACACAGCCAGCTCTGCCTTAGTACTGGGGCAGGACACCAGCATGTCACCACTGGCTTTCTCCTTGTGCAGGCTGTTGCTATGTCTTTTTGTGTTTTTTAAGTAATTCAATGTATGGCCTCATGGACAGATAAAGTGGGCAGCATGCTGTGAGATGCGGAGAAGTTTGGATGACAAACCACACTATTAGGGCAGCTACAACCACTGACCTCTGCTAGCTGGCAGCAAGGAGCCACCTCATTTCCACCTGTCTGAAAATGCCAGGAAAACAGCTAGAGGGAAAAAGGAGAATTTTCAGTATGATAGAGATGGCATGTGAGGTCTTCCCTCCCAGGCCAGCCTATTGAGAGCCAAACCCTGCTGCTGGAGGACAGTTTTTGCTCTTGTTCGTAGTGTGCATGGCAGGTATGTCAGTCAAGAGACTGGGCAAAGCAGTAGCAGGTACAAAATCTTCCTCATCCTTGGTGGCATCCCTGGTAATATATCACCACATTTCCCCAAAGCCTGAGGAGATGGCTGAAGCCTCCTGCACACCTGACTTAATTCAATAAAACTGGAACAGGAGCCTTATGTTTAAAGGGTACAAAAGCCAAAAAGATGTCACTTTCAGGAAGTCATGGATTGAATAGCTGAACTTCTATGAACTTTTTCTTCAGCGAAGGATTTTGGCAGGAAAATGTACTATTTAAAATTTGGTGACTTACCAGCAGTTTGCTTCACAAGGATCAATCCTGTCCTTAAATATGATGCTTAGATCCAGGACTTTTATTTTGTTGTGAACAAGTGTTGTGAAATGCCTTTGTGAATCAAACCTAATCAAGGCAGTGTTCTGCAGCTGGAGCCTGGAAGCCTGCCTGGAAGCACAGCAGGGGAGGATGGCATGAGAGGCAGGGAGCAATGGCAGCCTGCTGGGGCAGAGGTGGAACACTGAACTGACCCTAGCAGATGAGGAGATCTGTGCTCTTTTCTTCTCCAAAGCACCTGAACTCCAGGACACACTGGGTGTGCGAGCTGACTCCAGTGAGCCGGAGGCAGTTTCAATTGATGCAACTGCTCTTTGCTCAGCAGCTGAGAGGCCCAGCTTCCTCTGATCTCAGCTGTATGCAGAAAGCAGCTTCTTCTGTAGCTGTCTCTGGCTTCAGGTGGGCACCTACGTGTGGACACATTTGGTGCTTTTCCCAAGCAAAGATTTAGAATGAGCATATGTGGTCCCTGCAGAAGAAAAAATGGTTAGTATTCACATGTCAGAGTGAGCAGGAGGAGGGAACGTACCTTTTTTTGCTCTGGATATGTGATGATGACTCACCTCTATCATGGGGTGACCATACCAAGGACGTGCTGATGTGCCTGGTCTGTACTGATCTGCACAGCTCGCATGACCAACTCAGAAAGGCAGAGAGGAGGCTTCTCGTCCTCCCTTCTCCTGGTGGGAGGCTGTGGCACTGGAAGCACCGCACCGTGGTGTCAGAACTTAGCACACTCTTACTAATGGTAAAGAGAGGAGAGAGGCATCTGAGGACAGAGCATGGCAGGTCTCGGTGCCGACGGCCCTACTTCTGGCTGCTGGCAGCCCGGCCGTGCTTTGCTGGGCTCCGATGCCGGGCAGGACGCGGTGCGGTGCGGATGCCCACCGCGCGGTGTCACTGCCGGTCAAGGCAGCGCAAGGTCGGCCCCGCGGGCTCTGGCAGCACCAGAAGGAAGCCCCGGGGAAGGAGGAGCTGTTCCGTGCCCTGCGTGTGTCAGGTCCTTTTCTACAGGCACGGAAAGGCTGATTTTCGCAGCATTTTGTCCTGTGTTTGCTTTCTGTCAGCAAGAGCCTGTAACTACACTGGGAGGAGCTGCTGACTCCCCCGAGGGCAGACAGGCTTTGCAGAGAGATCTTGACAAATCAGAGGGCTGGGCAATCGCCAACTGCATAAAGGTCAACAAAGAGCTGTGCTGGCTTCTGCATCTGGGAGGGGCCCAGAGCAGCCCCACAGGCAGGGATCTGAAGGTTCTGGTTGACAGCAAGTTGAACGTGAACCAGCAGTGTGCCCTGGCAGCCCAAAGGGCCAACTGTGCCCTGGGGTGCCCCGGGCCCAGCACTGCCACTATGCTAAGGGAGAGATTGGCCCACTCTGCTCTGCGCTGTGCAGCCTCACATCCAGCACTGGGTGTGGGTTTGGGTGATAAGGTCATAAAGACATTAAAGAGCATCCAAAGGAGGGCTACAAAGTTGGTGAAGAGCCTGGAGGACAAGGTGTGTGAGGAGTGGCAGAGGTCCCTGGGTTTGTTCAGCCCAGAGAGGAGGCTGAGGGGAGGCTTCATGGTGGCTACAGCCTCATGGTGGGAAAGTTCAACCTCTACTGCCAGACCACCAACATCCTCCTCTGACATTGTGGGCCAACACAATAACATAGGAGGCATTACTTTTGGAGCAGCCCTCATAACATGAGCTGTCAGGCAAGAGTTTCATACAACAGGGCATGCACAGAAGGCTTACATACAGCTCACTTACCCAGAGCAGCACTGAAAGGAAAAGTCCAGAACTCCCTGAGCATGCCCCTGAGTCTGCTACCACTCTGCCTTGTGGTGTCACCACAATAATGATTGACACCACAGGAGAACATATCCTTCTGTTGTCACCTTTGGCCGGGCTATAGCATCCCTTGGCACCATAGAATCATAGAATCATAGAATCACTAAGGTTGGAAAAGACCCACAGGATCATCCAGTCCAACCATTCACTCATCACCAATGGTTCTTGCTAACCCATGTCCCTCAACACAACATCCAAACGTTCCTTAAACGTTCCACCATTGTGAGGCAACAGAAAACCTCTAGCAACCAGCAGTTCAGAAGGTGAAAGCTGTGTACCCTGGACAGCAAATGTCTTTCCTTCCTTAAGCTTTGCTCCATCCACTGGTGCTCTTCTTTGCAGGGGTGCTGCGCAGTCACAGGACCGGTCCTCAGGTGGGCCTCTGTCAAGTGATGTGAGCCACAGCACTGCAGGTTAAGACAGAGAGCTGTTGGAGAGGGTCCAGAGGAGAACCACGAAGATGATCAGGGGACTGGAGCACCTCCCCTGCAAAGACAGGCTGAGGGAGCTGGGCTTGTTCAGCCTGGAGAAAAGAAGGCTGCGGGGTGACCTCACTGCAGCATTTGAATACCTGAAGAGAGCCTACAAACAGGAGGAGAATCAACTCTTTGAAAGGGTAGATAACTGCAGGACAAGGGGAAATGGTTTTAAGTTGAGGGAGGGGAGATTTAGGTTGGACGTAAGGGGGAAGTTCTTTACAGAGAGAGTGGTGAGGTACTGGAACAGGCTGCCCAGAGAGGTTATGGATGCCCTGTCCCTGGAGGTGTTCAAGGCCAGGTTGGATGAGGCCCTGGGCAGCCCGGTCTAGTATCAAATGAGGAGGTTAGTGGCCCTGCATATGGCAGGGGGGTTGGAGATTCCTGATCCTTGAGGTCCCTTCCAACCCTGGCCATTCTGTGGTTCTGTGGGTTGCTTTCACTGTTTCTTTGGAAGATCTCGTAATGTGTTGTTACCACCTTTGCCACTGCTGGAATTACAGAATTCTGTCACAGCCTTGCCTTTTGGTTTAAAAATACTTGTCATCACTCATCTTTCTAGAAAGAAGCCTCCCAACATAACTGGAATGCGTCCAAAAGGCTGAAAATCCAAAGAGAAAATATCCCACATTTAATTTTATTTTATATCTGACAACTTTGAAAGCTCATTTTATGTGCAGTGGAAGGGTGGACTTGGGAGGCACAGAATTGGGTGCTGGTGCAGAGTTCCACTGAACTGTGGGTTTGGGGGGGGCTGAGCACGCCTGCCCCCAGAGCACAGCTCATTTATGTTGGTGCCAGCAACTGGCCCTGAGTTTGAGTGGCTTCTGACACAGATGACACCCTCACCAGCAGAGTATCTGTAGCAGGAAGTCAGTGGTGCAGCACCTGGGCAAAACACAAGCCACTCAGCCATTTTAGCTGCATTCATGTGTATGTTCCTGCTTGCCTGAAGAGAAACAAATTCCTACACTGCCACAGGTAAATTGAACGATTCTGTGTACAACAAATATTGTATAATAAGCTTATTAAGGCTAGAGAAAGCTTGGCCTGCAATGAACAGAGATGTGGGTAGAGATGTGGATTGATGTGTATGCCTCTGCTGATATTTTTGTGTACAGGGATATTTTAAACCGGCTTTGTAGTTGGCAGATTTGCTTTGTGTTGGACAAAGTCAGTCTGGATGCAAGAAAACACTTTTCCTTGTAAGGATAGGTGAGCAAGTCACCCAAAGCTGCTGTGCAGCCTCTGTCCTCAGGAGCACCCAGGACCCAGCTGCACAGTGTCCAGAGCAGCCTGGCCCCACCGGGCTGACCCCTGGTTTCATCTCTGCTCTTGAGAGGACTAGGCTTTGCCCCGCGGCCACAGCTCAACTCCACATGCCCCACAGACACCCAGTCACTCATTCTCTTCCACTCTAAGCATCTGGGACACTGTAGGGATGATGTTATCCCATTCCCTTACTTAGGAGACATCATTAGCAGTAAGTAATTTACGTAATGCTGCCGCCAGCACCAGACAAGGTGCAGTGAGGTTAAGCGGCCCAGGGAGGCGAGGGCATGCTGTGCCAGGAGGAGATTGCTGCAGGAGACAGCAGTCAGGATGGCCGGGGATCAGCGTGGGGGGACACCCTGCTCACTGCCAGCTGCCCGTCTGGGCACGCAGGGCAATGGAAGTGGGGCTTCCATCCAACAGTGCTATGGAGCACAGCTGTGAGGTTCCACCAGACACCAGAGCAGCTGAGGCAAACACCAATCTGTGTTAAGGAGAGAGAGTGTACCCATGGAGGAGAAGGAAGGAAAGCAGAACTGGTGAACCACATAAACATCATTGGTTTTTGGAGCTTTGCAGTGCTGTGAGGGGAGATGCCGACTCCCTAGCAGGGGAATTACAGAAGTCAAGCTCATGCAATGAGTGCATGTGTTTCTGCTGAGAGATCCTGAAGGGGTATAACGCAGGGATAAATAGAAAGGACCATGGCTGCAATGCACAGCTATCTGGGGCTTTCCCAGCAGAGAAGGGGTTACAGGGATTTTGCAGGCTTGTCTTCCACACTCTGGGGTAGCTGGAAGGGAAAGCAGGGGCTTTCCAGCCTGCATCTGCACAGTGGTGCACTGGGGATTCCTGTTAGAGTGGAAATCACAGAGAGATATGGGCTGTGAATGTAACCTTGTATACAGGGCTATAACAATAACAGCTCTGTGACCTGCATAGGTGCCACCTTCTTGCACTCTCTTGTCCATGAAGGGGATCCATCTGGCCAGGGAGAGCTGTCCTTTCCTCACCTTGGTTTCTGCACTATAGCATACACCAGTGTGCTCGGCCTGGCTGATGGAGGCTGAACTTGCATGGAATTTAAAAACCAAAAGCCACAGGAACCTCACTAAGTGTGCTTTTGTTGTGCTATATGTTGTTTTTAAGCAGAGCTATTCTTAGAACCACACTCACTGACAATTAGAAGGTTCTGTATGGAATCTATTGAAAGAGATGAATATTGCTTCTTAACTGTAGTGACAGATTGAAAAAAAAAAAAAAAAAAAAAAAAGTTATCTCTTTGTTCTGTCTTCTTACCTGAAGTAAAAGCCTGGTTAAACCAGTTAACTATCAGCCTACACTTCAGAATAATGCTGCTAAAAATGAAGTGTAAAATTAGCCTGTCATTTTGCTGTCGCTCACATGGGATGTGAGCTGCCCTTCTGCAAAGCTTTTACTTTCCAGTAACGTAACTTTGTGGTGGGTGGGTGCAAGGACTTGCAGCGGCAGCGGCCGCCCCTGGCAGTGCAGTGGGTAGAGATCACCTCAGCTTAGGGCTATTCTCTTTCTGTCACCTCTGATTGGCCCTGGAAGGGCTGCTCACTGCTGGGCCCTTGCAGGCTGCTCTCTGGCAGAGACGTCAGTGTGCCAGCAGCCCACCTCTGCTTTCAGGCACCAGCCTACACCAATCCCAAACTCCTTCTCTGCTTTGAAAGCCTCTTTCTTTCCAGAGACAGCAGTGGCTGCGGGTAAAAGACACTGATGCCTAAAATACCCCCACTCCTTGAAAATATTCATATATTTTCTAGTTCATAGCTCTTTCTCACTGAGCCTTAATCCTGGAGTCAGAGAAAGGAAACAAGGCGGGAGAAATACCCCATCCATTCTGCAATGGGGCTGGGCTGGGAGCTGCCAGCCTGGGACACCCACAGCAGCCTGTGGGTGGGCAGTGACACCCCCCACACGCTTGGCTTCGTACACCTCCACACATCAAACAGTCTGTGTTTGCAGAGTCACACTCCAGTGACAACAGCAGTTTCTTGGTTCAGGGAAAGCAGCATTACCAATGCCACAAAGAGGTCTGCATGGCTTTTCTACTGGTGAGTGGTGCTGACGTCTTCCTAAAGTAGGTGAAACAGTTTTGACACATTCTCAGAAATAGATAGAAGGGTTTTTTTGTGTGTTTGTTTTGGTGGCTTGACCTTGTAGGAGGTGGAATTCACAGTCCTGTGGCTTGCAAGTTGCTGTGCCCCACTGTGTCCTAGTGCCCCAGTGCTGAGGTAGGGTGAGCACACAGTGCCCTGGGCAAGGCAGGGGTGGCTGTCTAATCTAAAACCTGCTGTTAAAAAAAGAGGAGCAATATTATTGAATTTAAAAGGCATTGGTCCATCTTTTTGTTTAGCACTTTATACAGCATAGTCAGTAGCTTCCTCCTTTTAAGTTTCCTATTTTTACACTTATTAAACCCACCTGTCTGTGGCCCTTATATTCTGTCTCCTTCAAGACAGCCACTAAATATGTGTTTAAAAGCCCCAGGTGTGTGCCTGCAGTTTTGTGCATAGCAGGGCAGGCAGGAGCGAGATCTGGTAATAGAGAACAATGGGAGTTCACAGCTTCCTGCTATTTCTGATGCTCTCAGACGCTCCTAAAGCCAGATGCTTCACAGCCGTACAGTGATATCTGTAGTGATTACACTCTGTCGTTTCTGCTTCTTTTTTTCTTTTTTGCTGATATGGAAGACTAACTCCCTGCCTCTGTGCCTCATTGCTGTTCAATTCCTGCAGCACAACTCCTGACTCCCATAGTGCCTCAAACACAGTTTATCCAGTGATATGAGGTCTTATTCCCCAGCCTAAAGCCAAACTGGAGTTTCGATGTGTGTGACGAGCACAGGCTGACCATCCTTCCCTTTGCGTGTTGCTGGCTGACCTCTACCAAAACATTAACCTAGTAGTCACGCCACATTCAGTTGTGGAAGGAGTGCTGGTGCTCTCAGCCCAGCAGAATGCCCCAGCATTACATCCGTAATTCATTATGTGCCGGCTTAGAGAAGTGGCTGGATCCTTGGCTGCCATAAATTGTTAGGATTGTGCTAACCTTGGCAGACCTACCTGCCCTTGCAGTGCATAATCGCCCTTTAGGAGCCTGTGCCATTAACTAGACAGATGGTCTTAATCCCTCTCTTCCTGGGTGGTTGTGCACATCATGACTGAGACTTACCAGACCGCAAGGACTAAGTGTCACTGGAAATTGAATGACCACTGCCTGTGCAGCTGTCCCTCTGGCCAGGTTGAAGCAGGTGGCAGACGGGAGGCTCTCCATATGCTACCTGCTCTGCCACTGGGAAGAAAGCAGGTCTTCAGGACACTCACACCTCTGTAAAGAATGAATAAGCTACCCAGGGATCTAAATAATAGCTTCAGTAGTCAGGAAACAACACGAGGAGTAAATACACAGGTAAATCTGCCCCAGACATCTGGATCAAGATGCTGAGAACTCCTATAAGGGATGAACAGTGTTTCTGCTGAAAACAGCATTTCTCACTGGTGTTATGCTGTCATTACAAGTGATATCATAACACATTTGTATTTTTGTTTGTCAGGCTCTGGTATGTGCAAGAGGAAAAAAACAAGCAGAAGTTCTGTTGTACAAGCTCAGCAAACACTTCAGCTTACACAACTCAGTGTTTCTTCCTTTGTTCTCTCATCCTACTGCCTCAGCTGTTTTTGAGA